ATATTTTTTATCATTATCATTATCATAATTGTTATTATTATCAATATCAGTACTAATATTAATATCATAATCATTAATATTATCAGTATCATTATTGTCATTATTATTGTTGTTATAATTTTCGTTATTGTTATCATTGTTATTGTCGCTGTTGTCATCATTATCATTACTATTATTATCATAGTTATCATTATCATAATTATTGGATCAAACAAAATGTTCGATACCCTGTGTGCGAGCTACTCCTATCCCACTACAGCAGGGGTGGTCGATCACAAGCCTGTTTAAGTCGATCTCACTACTGTACTTCAGAAGTTATCTTGCAAATAGCTGCAATAGGATTCTCACGATACTTGGAGTATTATATTTTTTTCTGGGAATAAGTTATATTTATATTTATAATAATGTTACACTGTTACAGTTACATTTGTGGGATATGTTTGATTCTTAGGCTGGTAGATTGCATATTCTATTAATGCAGCTTTTCATATTTCATTGGTCTTCCATTATATAAATATATTCATTTTTCTTTCTTCTGATTCTGGTATACTATGCTTCATTATAATCGGTACATATACTCGTACTTGATACCCAGCGATCTATTATAGTGCGTAATAACTTGCTTTCTATGCTACTTCTGGCTACGCTATTTTGATCTTTCCCAGTGTGAGATAAGGTCTAAATAAGTACAGATACAGGCCTGTCATTATGATTATGGTTAATACTATTATCGCTTTTATTACTATTATCATTATCATTCTCATTATTTATTATAACTGTTATTATTATCACAATCATCATCATTATTGCTATTATTATTATTATTATTATCATTATTATTATCAAAAATATCATCATTATTATTATTATCCTTATTATAATGATTATCATTATTATTATTATTATCATCGCCAGCGCCAATGTTATTATTATTATCATCATCATCATTATCATTATCACTATCAGAACTTTTTATCAATATCATTGTCATTACTATTATCATAATAATTATTAATAATATCAGCACTGTTACTATCATTGTTGTTATAATGATGATGATGATGATGATAATAATAATAATGATAATGATAATAATAATAATAATAATAATAATAATAATAATAATAATAATAATAATAATAATAATAATAATAATAATAATAATGATAATAATGATAATAATAATAATAATAATAATAATAATAATAATAAAAAAAAAATAATAATAACAATGATTATAATAGCAATAATAATAATGATGATATAATGCTAATAATTATTATAATAATGCTAATGATAATTCTAATAATGATGATAATAATGATAACAATAATAATAATAGTAATAATGATAATGATAATAATAATGATAATACTAATAATTGAAATAATAATAGCATTAATGTTGATAATGATAATAGAATTGATGATGATGATTATGATAATGTCAATGATAATGATATTGATAATGATAAGAATGATAATGATATTGATAATGATAAGAATGATAATGACAATAATAGCAATGATAATGATAATAATAATAATAATAATAATAATAATAATAATAATAATAATAATAATAAAAATAATGATAATAATAATAATAATAGTAATAATAATAACAATAACACAATATTAATGATGATAGTAGTAATAATAAAGAATGACAATGATAGTAGTAATAATGATGATAACCATTATAGTAATTGGGATAATGATTATATAATAGTGGCAATAGTAACAGTAATGAGAGTAGCATCATTGATAATCCTTATGTAGAGTTATAATGATGATAACAATGATAACTTTAATAATAAGAACTGTATTGATGATGATTATAGTAATGATAAACATAATGATGATAATAAAATGTTGATGGCAAAAATGATATTGATGATGATAATGATAACAATAATGATATTAATAACGATACTACTACTACTACTAAAATGATGATGGTGATAAAAATAATAACATGAATGATATGACTAAGACTACTAGGAATAAAGTTGCTATATATAATGATATTAATGATGATGGTTTCACTGATTATTATCATCATTATTTTCATCATCATTATTCTTATCCTCATAACCATTTCTGTTACTATTATCATTTTGTTCTCATTGCCATCATCATCCTTACCATTATCTTTATACTATTATCATACCATCATTAGCATTGTTGATATTACTATTTTCATTATCATTATTAGCATTATTGTACGTACTTATTATCACTATTTTCATTATTACTAACATGGTCAATATTATTAGTGTTATTATTACTATTAGTATTATTGGTTTTACCGTTAGCATTGTTATTATTGTTATTATTATTATTATTATTATTATTACTAATATTATTATTATTGTTATTATCACTATTGTTGTTGTTGTTGTTATTATTATTATTATTATTATTATTATTATTATTATTATTATTATTATATTATATTATTATTATATTATATATTATATTATTATTATTATTATTATTATTATTATTATTATTATTATTATTATTATTATCATAATCATTATTATTATTCATTATTTTATTAAATAATAATTATCATTATCATTATTCATTTATTATGCATTATTATTATCATTATCATCATCATTATTATCATTATCATCATCATTATTATCATATCATTATTTATTATCATTATCATTATTATTCTCATTATAATTGTCATCATTATTACCATCATTATAGTTATCATGATTATTACCATCATTATAGTTATCATCATTATTATCATCATTATAGTTATCTTCATTATTAATATCATCATAGTTATCATCATTATTATCATCAGTATAGTTATTAATTATTATCATTATTATAGTTATCATCATTATATCATCATTATTATCATCATTATAGTTATCATCATTATTATCATCATTATAGTTATCATCACTATTATCATCATTATAGTTATCATCATTATAGCTATCATCATTATTATCATCATTATTATCATTATTGTAATTATCAGTATCATTATTATCAAATTCATTCCCATTGTTAATTTCTTTAGATTTTATAGAATATAATGACATTGTTAATGTTAATGATGATAAGAATGTTAATGTTGATGATAATGACGATGACAATAACAATGATGATGATTAGAAAAAGGTTGTTAATGGTATTAAGAATAATGACAATGACAATAGTAATAATGATAATAATGATAACAATAATGATAATGATGATGATGATGATGATGATGATGATGATGATGATGATGATGATGATGATGATGATGATGATGATGATGATGATGATGATGATGATGATGAATGATGACTAATAATAATTACACTTAAATTAATTGCAATAATAATAAAATCATAATAATCAATAACAATAATACTGAAAACAATAGTGATAATGGTAATAATAATAATGATAATAATAATTATAACAACAGTGAATGTAATAATAATAATGATGATAATGATAATGGTTATAATAAGGATAATAATAATAGTAGTAGTAAGAATGATGATAACAATATATATAATCAAGTCAGTAGTAGAAGTAGTAATAACAATAAAAATAATAAAAACAATAATAATAATAATAATAATAATAATAATAATAATAATAATAATAATGATAATAATCATTATCAATATTATTATTATTATATTGATAAAGTTAATGATAACAATTACTATAATAATAATAATAATAATAATAATAATAATAATAGTAATGATAACTTTGCTAATAATAATGGTAGTAATGATAATGATTATGATAATAATAATGAAAATAATAATGATAATGATAAGGAGTATGATAATAATAATGCTAAAAATAATGAACACAGTAACAATGATTATAATTACGTCAATGATAAAACAATAAAGAGAATATCAATATCAATATGATAATAATAATATCAATAATGATAATTATGCTGCTACTGATAATGATAATGGTAATAATAGAAAAACTATGTTAATAATGATGATGATGATGATGATGATAATAATAATAATAATAATAATAATAATAATAATAATAATAATAATAATAATAATAATAATAATAATAATAATAATAATAATAATAATAACAATGATGATGATGGTAATAACAACTAGAAGCACTAAGAGAGAACATAGCTCCGCCAAGGCACTATGGTCCCTGGTGCAATAAAAATATTCACACTTGAAAAATTACATTAAAATCACCTTTCTTTCTAGTATATTGGTGACGTCCGTGGTTTCCTATCTCGCAATGCCAATAATGGATCAATTAACCACCAAAATCTAATGGCATATAAGTTGGGCTAAGACACATATCTGATAATGTTCGTGACATTCTGAGCTCTCCGACGCAGGACCCGGATCATGATCACCGGACGTCTTCGGTCATTCCCCGACGCACCACAGGTCGCAGGTGTCTCGCTATAATGATAATGGTAATGATAATAATAATGATAATGATAATAATAATGATAATGATAATAATAATGATAATGATAATATTGATAAAGATTATAATAATGATAACAACAATAACAGCAACAACAATAATAATAATGATTATGCTAATACTGATGATAATAATAATGATAACAATAATAATGATAATGATGGCAATAACAATAGTAATACTTATAGTGTCAATGTTCTTAAAATCGTTGCTATTTTCGTTATTGCCAGCATTAGTTATTCATATATTTTCAGATATTTCAAGCTAATCGGTATTTCTATTACAACTGCTTTGCATCTTTTCTTCCTTTCTATTGCTGTTGCCCTTCCCCTCTTCGAAGTATCATTTCAGTCTGCGTAAACGACCGACCCAGATTCCCTTTCATCACAGTGCGGAGCCAATACTTCAAATTCGAAGCAATAAATGTGTGACGGTCCATATGATCTAATAACATAAATTTTGGATCTTTTGTTATAGAAAGCGTAACGTCGACGTTTGATACATTGACTTGAAGGTCATGAAAAAGATCTGGGAGTATTTAAAAAATAATGATAATTTATTTGGATTATAAGATGACATACATTTTATATACAAGTACGAGAGTGACTGAAGATTAATATATCGCATCTTTGAAAAGATGTCGACATCACGACTAGATTACTTAAAACTATTCATTTTTCCTCTCATTTCTCACATCTTCCTCTGGCTATTCATCTCTTTCTGTTCATCTTTACCTCCTTATAGTAACTTCGCTTTCGGCCTCATTAAGAAGTCTCCGAGGCAGTAATCTGCGCATCACTCATCCTGTTGGAATAACAGCTGGCTTCTTTTCTGGTCACTCTACAGCTACAATGATCTCTCGCTTCGCATTCAATATCTCCATTATTCGGAGATGATTTCGTATCACTTTCGTCAGTTTGAGAATCTGAAGAAGTGATCGCGGCATCCTTCGGCATCCCATTACCTTTCTCATGATCTAAGGCTATCTCATGCTCCATGCTCACATCTCCCTTTCCTTCGTCAGCAGTGCTTCTCCTCACTACTGTCGCAGCTGTGTCCTGTCTGTCGGATGGGAGTTCCTCGGCTAACTGAGCCTTATTTTTCTCATCCTGCCTGGCCTTGCTTGAGGGCGTCTCGCCTACAGGGCCGCTAAGAGTCCGCGCAATAGATTTCAGTGTGACTGTAGATTTGTTCCTGAAGTCCTTGAAAAGATTCTTGTCCTTTTTGCCGCCGGCTTCGAAATCCTTTGTTTCGTAAGAAGACGAAACGCTCATCAGCTGCATGATTCTGTGGGAGCGAAAGACCAAAATGCAGTGTTAGCAAAGAGTAACGATCATTGCACAAATTAGGCATAACTATAACACTGAAACGTAGTTACATGAGATTTTCTCATCTAAGACATTCTGGGCAGAGCTACGCCAGCACTCACATGAATATGATCATGATAAGCACGTTGAGGGAGGCCCCGAAGAAGAACTGGGCGGCTGGCAAGGTGTCGACTGTCGTGTAGTAAATGGGGGAATAGGCGGCGTAGGCGATCATGGGCATCAGGCCGTTCATGGCGGCCATGACGGCGCTGATGCGACCTGTTGATACCAATCTTTCTTGAGAGAGGGAACAAACTTAGAGACTATATGCAGTTTTGACATAAATTAGGTTGCAATAAATCATGTCAATTTAAACGGTGCAAAATTATGTTACCTTTCTCCTCTTTGCTGACAAGTTTGGTGGACAAAGATCTGAAGGCGATGACGCTGCGTTGGAGATGACTCCGACGGGAGGTCCCAGCCACATGAGGAACGCCTGAGACACGCCGTTGACTAGACTGTAGCACACATATTCGCCCATGATGGATAAGGAGCCCAGCACGGCCAGCGAGGCGTCCGTGAAAGACAGCATCTTGGTGAGGATCGGCACCAGAAACAGCGAACCTGGTAGGATGATCGATGGAAGTGCATTATTCAGTGTATTATTCAGTTTTCTTTAAAAAGGTGACAAAGGAAAATGATGTAAAATTGGAGCAGCTGGGCTATTTATAGCAGACACATTTTATCAGACACAAAAATCATTATGATTTACTCTGGACAACCCTGTCACAATCCACTTCGCCTACGAGGACAAAGGGAGGCAGCACAACTCACCGATGGCCGCAAGCAGGTTCCGATAGGTGACCCAGTAACCGTAGTCGGTGGCCTCCCAGGACAGGGCGCGACGCACGAACATGTACATGAAGAAACCTGCAACATACAACAGTGCTATCTGCCTTGTCTGACCTGAGATTGTTTATCATTTTACCCGATTCGTAGCCAAGGCGAAGTCAGGGATATTCACCATACACAGGATAAGCGACGAGTGATCTGACTGACCTCTGGCGACGCGACGAAGCATGTTGCTGAGGATAATGGCCATGATGAACTTGCGAGCGTTGCCCTCACGCTGTCTGAACGCCGTCTTGAAGGACTCGACCACACGCCGCCAATTGAAGAAATCGGACGCCATGCGGAGCTTGGACACTTCCTTGCTGTCGGGACTTGGTTCCTGCTTGGCTGATCCGTGGGCCTGCAAAGCCGTCTTGGCGAAAGGTCCGTGCGATTCTTTGATGACGAAGACCACGTAGAGGACGGCCGAGAGGTAGGCCAGCAGAACCAGCAGGAGAGCCAAGTTGTAGCCTCCGTACTTGATGACCAGCGCCCCGACCAGGGTGCCCACTGGACCCCCGAGGTACCACAGAGAGTTGGCTGTGCTGACGCGAGAAGTGCGAGTTTTCTCAGGGCAAATGTCACTGATATAGCTTGTCACAGTGGACAAGAGGCCCACGTTGCCGCCCCCAAAGCCTCCAGGACAGTCACAAAGTAGATGACCTCAACCGGCCAAGACGTCTGCCAGTTGCTCAAAAGGTATCCCCCGGCGTACATAACATGGCCGATCAGCGTCATCAACAAAGGGATCTGTTTGTAACATATTAATCCCTGAGTTTTCATGTGATAATTGCATTTCCAAATTACAAACCAAATGCTGTAAACTTAAAGAAGAA